GCTAGACAAACCAGACTCCCTTTCCCTAATAATATCACTAATTCTACTACCTCTTTTCAACTCATTTTCATTAATACCTGGGGGCCTTACCAGTCTCCCACTACTACTGGTGCAAGATACTTCCTTGCCATTGTAGATGACTACTTTAGAGTGATGGTAGGCTAGAATCACGTGTTTTAGTCCTAGTTTGCACTCTAATTACTGTATTTTACTTGTATTTGAGCATAAATATTAGTGTATTGCACTTATTATATGTTTTATGCCTTGAAGGAAGTGATTTCGAGTTGAAAGGGTATTCGAGAGATAAATTGAACAAATTGGGGCTTTGAAGTTTTGAGTAAAAGTCCAAGAGATTAAACCGGGACCGCGTTCAGGGGTCGGGAGCCAAGTCTGGATTTCAAAAAACGAAACAAGCGAAACACTCTAGAAAACCTTCACTGCCATGCCGCATGGGGCGGCGCTATAATGTATTTCTATTGGTTCCCATCAGAACATGCTCTCTGAACTTCTTCACTAGCGCCCCGCATGGAAAGGTGCATGGTGCAGCGTGCTTGTGCAATTTCTTAGAGTATTTGTCCTGTTTCGACCTGGAAAAAGTATTTTTGTCTAGGCCCACTCCTACAAGGTATAAATACACCAAAAATATATTTTTGAAGGGAGTTTGAACCTTGGAAGCTTTGGGAGAGCATTGGAGGCTACAAGACACGGGATTCCATCATTTTTCCATTAATTCAATACGAGTGTTTGGAATATAAAGTTAGATTGATGCTTTTTTATTCTTCAATTATAACTGTGATGACTTCCTCCATGATTATAGAGTAATTTCCCTTAGTGTTTGACGGATATGGCTTTTTGATAAATATTTGTGGATTTTAACTCTAGTCCATGCTTGAATTCGTTTATGGAGTTTTGGATTATTGAAATTGCATTCATCAGTTTATTTAATCAAAAGAGAAATATCTTGATGATTATCTTTGCATTATTTTGTTTGATTTAATTCATTGATTATCTTAATTAATTAGAAGAGCTTGTTGAATTGTTGATTAAATCAAGATTAGGAGAATATTCGAGAGACGTTTTCCTAAGAACCAATACATTAACACATGCTTGCATATTTCAAAGTGCTTATATTAGTTCATCTCGCAGAGTTAAGATTTAATCGAGAGAGGAGTCTTGATTATACGTTTGAACTAATCATCGAGTGAATTCGTGATAATCATTAGAACATTAGAGTTAATTAAATTAGAACTAAGTCCCAAATAGCTATCTTGCACCTATCCTGTCAAACCCTTATCCCTCATATTGATAAGAACCACTCTGCGAATCCCCAATTCTTTGCTGTCAATTATCAATTGCGTTATTTTAGTAGTTAAACGTAGATCATAAACATTTAACTTAAATGTTGATCCTCCTAAATAGCGATTAAACCAAGAATTACTTGAACATTGTTTAAATCAAGTCCCTATGGAGACGATATTATACTATATTATCTTTGATTAGCGAGCATCAATTTCGTTTGTGTTTTGGGCTCATTAAATTTTGGCATCATTGCCGGGATTGGAAATCAATAGTGTTCAAAATAGTTTTTGGTACTAATTCAGGAATTTATTTTTTTATTTTTATTCTTCATAGTTTTCTTTTTCATGTGACAGCAACGGGTTAAGTTCATGGTGTATAACTCAATATTCTTCAAAAGTATTAATACACTACCAACCAGAGTTTGAAAACATATGCGACAACTGAGAAAAGAGAAAAATTTCACCAGAAAGTTCTTGCTGCAACCTTCAACCCAAGAACACATGGTTAGTAACGATGAAGATGAGGTAGATTTAGCTGCAGGGGAGGCATCACAACACATAGAAGAAGCTAAAAGGATAGCAACTGAGGCAATCCATAGAGCTGTTGATGAGATCGTCAACAGTGATGGGGGTCGAAGATTCAATCTGAATCGACCCTTGATTGAAGAGCAGTTCGAGAATACGGTACCCAGGCCTGGTAGAGCATTGGGTGATTACGCCAGACCAGTCTACAATTAGGGAATGTCTAGTGTTAGACCTTCACCAATAGCAATGAGAAATTTTGAGTTGAAGCAAGACTTTATTCAAACTATCCAGAACAACTGTGTCTTTAGAGGGAAGGTGAATGAAGATCCTAACACTCATTTGATGGATTTTGAGGAAATTATGAACATTTTCCAGTACAACAAAGTGTCAAAAGATGCAATATACTTAAGGGTATTCTCTTTTTCACTAAAGGAGCGAAGCACTGGCTTCGTAGCTTACCAACGGGGTCGATCAGGACATGGGAAGATATGACTAGAACGTTTCTTGAAAAATAATTCTCAGTTGCAAAAAGAGTGAAGTTCAGAAGGGAAATTGACAACTTCTGCCAGACACACACCGAAATAGTTTCGAGGCTTGGAAAAGATTCAAGGAGATAGTGAGGAATTGCCAGCATAATGGGATTGAATTATGGATGCAACTCCAGGACTTTTGGGATGGAATGACACCTCCCTCAAGACGAACTCTGAACACTCCAGTTGGAGGTCCTTTAATGAAAAAGACTCCTGATGAGATTATGACAATTCTTGATGAGCTCTCTGAAGATGCTAACCAGTGGCCGGTTGAGAGCAATGATAGAAAAAAATCAATTAGGGTTCATCAAGTAGATTCTAATACAGCAGTGCAAGCCTAACTAGATGCCATGGTCAAAGAGATAAAGAAGTTGACCTTAGCCAAGGTCCAGAGCCAACCAACACCAGTTTGTGATATCTGTGGAATGGTTCATCCAATGCATGAGTGACAGGCCAAAGCTGTAGATGAAGTGGTAAATGTTATGCGAAGCTTTGATAGAGACAACTACCAGAGTGGAAATAATTTCAATCTTATGGGACAGATGCACCCAGGCTTTTCTTGGAATTCACTAAGTGGTAGCTTGAACTCATGGCAGCAAAGTAATCTAGACCCTAGGGACAAGGAGCTCTAGGTTTTCAAAATTAGCAGAGGCAGCAATGTCAGCCTACAGTCTAATCTGTCTAGCATGGAAAATTTGATGAAGGCCTTTATTATTAAGACAAATGAGAGGCTTGACACCCACGGTGCAGCTATCAAAGTACTGGGCACATCTTTTCAAAACCTGGAAAGACAGGTTGGGCAACTGATAAGTGAGGATTTTGACTACTTATTAGCACCTTTTTACTTTCGTTTTAGTCCAAAAGTATTTAATTGTGTTCCCGAAACTGATGAAATATGCTTAATTGCAGGAATATTGAGACATGAGCCCCCAAGATAAAATCCAACTCAAGAAGGAGTTATATGAACATAAGGACAAAAACAGGTACAGAAGCTCAAATGTGCGGACCATAGATTATCATCTGTGGCAGCAGATGATGAAGAAACTTCTATCAGAGACATGTGCAAAGTACGGTCCGCACATGAAATGTGCGGCCAAAGAAACTAGGCAAGAGAAAAAGTTCAGAGAACCTGCATCTCAAGTTCAACAGAAGTGCGGACCGCATAATTATTGTGCGGCCGCAGAAGAACAGCTACGCGGCCGCAGTCATATTTTTGCCATCCGCAATAGAGAAAAGTGCGGCCGCAGACACATTTGTGCGGACTGCAGAAAGAGAGAAGTGCGGCTGCAGTTCAGAATTATGCGGCCGCAAGTTTCTAATCCTATCAAGCTGAAGCAAAGTACAAACTACTCATGGAATTTTGCCGCCGCAGAACCTCTGAAAGGGAATTTTTGTCTGAAAATTCTAACCCTGTATAAATAGAAGAGTTTCATTTTTTAGGCCAAGTTTAGACATCAACAACTACAGTAGAAGGTTTTCTTTACTCTCTTTAGTAGTTTTTGCTATTTGAGCTTTTTGAATAAGGATTTCATCATTTTAATTATCAATATGGGTTTAATTATCATTTCTTCTTTTATTTCTTCTATCTTAATCATGAGTAGCTAGATTTTCACTAAGGTTGTGACCCAACCATAGAGTGTAATCTTAATGGGTGTTTGATTTATTGCTTGTTTATGGTTGGGTGTTTATTATTTAGTCTTGTTCTCGCTTTTAATTGTAGAATTAATGGTTGCAAACATTAGTTCATGCCTATTTGACTTGGTCTCTACTTGAGAAGGAGAGACTTAGTCTAGGAAAACTTGGCTAATAAGAAATTAGGTAAATCGAGAGATTGATAGTCCCAATTAAAGGGTTGAACCTAGAGATAGTAAAACTCGACTTGAGCTTTGTATTAACAGTTTTGTTTAATATCCATCTGGACTTGAGAAAGCCAAATTGGGCAAAATCACTCTCTAACCGAAAGGTATTGAGTGGGTATTCGAGTGTTGATGTCTATAATACACCCCGACCAATAAAAAAAGTTTTAAAATTTATAACCCGTTAGGCAAACACCTAGTTGAAGGTCATACCCCTAAGTCTTTTATATTATTTGAAAAACAACAACAAAAACAATCTCCTAGTTTCAATTCTTAGTTTGTAATCTTAGATTAAATTAGACCTAAAAACAACCCAAGTTTGTGGAAGTGCAATTTGAGATAATTCAAACTCATACACTATAATATATATCCCTTAGTCCCATTCATAGCTCTCTGTAGAAAATGGACCCCGACTCCTTGTTGGGTATTACTATTGCATCGACCATTTCATAACCTTAAATAAAGGTGTGACTTGGACGAGATCAACAACTAGCTGCTCTATTGTCTGAGAAGGTTCCAAAGACACTCCCTACTAACACTAAAAGAAATTCAAAAGAGATAACAAATGCAGTGTCTTTGAGGAGTGGGCCCGGGTTGGAGGATCCCATAGCAAAGCAAAATGATGAGCTGATTGAAAGACATGTGGAGATTATGGAAGAGCAGAAAAATGATAACATTCAAAAAGGTGCTAGCGTGGTAGATGATGGTTTGAAGAAGAAGGGGAAAACTAGATCTCAGACAAAGAAGAATATGATAATGCAACAAATAATGAGACTAAAGAGAGAAAATACATGCCAGCTCTACCGTTCCCTCAGAAGCAAAGAAGAGAGAAGTTGGAAAAACAATTCGAGCGCTTTCTAGAATTGCTCAAGCAGGTGCATGTAAATATACCTTTCATAGAGGTGCTCTCTCAGATGTCAGCTTATGCTAAATTCATGAAGGAGATATTGTCCAAGAAGCAAAAAGCGGAAGAGACATCAGTTGTCATGCTAACAGAGCATTGTAGTGCCATCTTGCAAAATAAGCTCTCTCACAAATGTGGAGATCCAAAGAGTTTTACTATACCTTGCTCTTTAGGAAGTACTAAATTTCAAAAATCTTTGTGCAATTCAGGTGCTTCTATTAATCTTATGTCGTTGTCAATTTTCAGGAAATTAGAGGGAGAGATTGGAGAAATCAGGTTGATACCTATATCCTTGCAGCTGGCGGATCAGATCACAATCATACCTAAAAGAATAGTGGAAGATGTGCTGGTTTGGGTAGACAAATTTCTGTTCCCTGTGGACTTCATTGTGGTGAACATGGAGGAAAATAGGGAGGTCCCTTTGATTTTAGGAAGACCATTCTTGGCTATAGGAAAAACAATTCTAGATATCCAAGAAAGGCAGCTCATGCTCAGAGTGGGGGATAAAAAGCTGATTTTCAAAATGAAAGGAGAAAGGAGAGCCCTGAAGGAGCAACTTGGAGAGAGTCAAGCGAATAAGCGTGGGGTGTACCCAAAGAAGGCAGAAAAGAAGCTTTCTACGCGGATGTGTACATCGGGTCGGGTGTGCAAAAGAGATGCCGACTTTGATTCAGATCCCGACTAGATGAATAGGGAAGTTTCCTTTACTTCTTACTTTTTATTTATGTATCATGGGGACATGACACAATTGAAAGTGTCGGTTAGGGAATGTATATATGTATATGTGTGTTTGTAGTCGTTTCTTTTGATTATTTTGAGATTTTTTCTTTGACTTTTCTCGACGATGAATTTCCTCGACTGTCTTCTTGACGGATTAAAGTTGAAAATAATATTTTGTTTTTCTTAGGTAGTGTAATAATTCCCCCGTAGTTTTTCTTTGTGCCACAATTTTTTTCCAAGGATTTTTGTTGAACAGGGTGTAGTTAGTTTTTTCTTTTAGTAGGAGTAGTGAAGTCTTGTGCTATGTATTAAAAAGGAGATGGCTTCTCCTGACTTTATTGTGCCTTGAGAGCAGTGAGTGCCTTAGAGTGATGCCTAGGCTCATTTCTTGACTCATAAATAAGTGCCTTAATTTGTGTGATTATAACTTTGCTTAACTGCTTTGACTAGAGAGTCAAGATAGATCCGATCCTAAGTGAGTTATGTGCCAATGTGTCTGAGGTTTGTGATAGTTTGGGCATGTCGATTGATGTCTAGAACTTGCCTCATGTGTTTAAAAACGAAATAGTATCCTTGTTTAGTCTAGGAAGTGATATATGTATTTCTTTGTTGAGCTACGCATATGCTTCTGCCCACCTAATGAATATGTATCTTAGTTAGCCTCGTTGAGCCTATAATCCTATTTCTTTGGCAACCACACTAAAAGCTTGACCCCTTTGTTTGAACTTTCTGTCTATTTGAACCTTTTACCTCTCTTGAGCACTTGATGTTGTTATGAGCTTGTAAAAGCTAAGTAAGGTATGGTCGGGTTTTGAGTGGAACTATAGAAAAAGGAGAAAGGTGCATTGTTTGAAAAATTATGAGAGCCACTTATAGAGAATTTGAAAAAAAAGAGTTTGATTGAGAAAAAAAGAGAAAAAAAATCAGAACTTATAAAACAAAACAAATGGATTACATGCTAGTGGTAGTTCTCATCTTGTTTGTGCTTAAAGATATTGGGAGCTTGATGCTATTATGAATGAAGGTTGGGATTTGGTTGAACATAAGTGTGGGGCTTGAATTGTTAATATATATGTATTAAAGTGTTCCGGGAGGTGGAGTCACTATATCCAAATATATCCTACTCGTCCCGCAGTCTATATTACAACCAAAATAAAGTCCTACTTGATCTTTTGCTGAATGAGCTTAATTAGTAGAGTATAACACTACAAGCAAGCCTATGGTACGTCTTCTGTGGCATATGAATTTTATTTCTGAGAGCGAGTTAAGTCTTTCTATCTTGAGTTCCTATTTGCTCTTGAATTATCGTGTGTAGAACTACGCTCTATTGTTTGTGTGAGGGCACATGATTTGCGAAGGTAAGATGAATTATTTGACTTCTGTGTTAGAGTAAGTGAGCATGTTGTTAAACTCTTGGTGCTTTTGAGTCGAGTCTTGAGGTTAGTATGTTATGATCGGGTGCTTAGTCTATTTTAAATATTCTTGGCATGATGCGTTAGGGAAGTTGTCTGTTAGGAAAGTCGTCTATATGTGAAGTGCAGTTTGATTTCTCAAGGAAGAGCAATGATCTAATGTGAGGTGTTGATGGTAGGCTAGAATCGCGTGTTTTAGTCCTAGTTTGCACTCTAATTACTGCATTTTACTTGTGTTTGAGCGTAAATGTTAGTGTATTGCACTTATTATGTATTTTATGCCTTGCAGAAAGTGATTTCGTGTTAAAAAGATATTCGAGAGCTAAATTGAACAAGTTGGAGCTTTAAAGTCTGAGTAAAAGCCCAAAAGATTAAACTGGGATCGCGTTCGGGGGNAGCCTAAAACGTCGACTTCTCTAATAGTTCCATCATAAACCTCAGTTTTGAACGAATTAGCGGACAAATAATTAGAGAAATTGCTCTACTCCTAAAATTCAGCAATTAGCGAATGAAGCTGCTCGTCACCTCCATTGACAACAACTGCTTAACTTCGAGTTTCTTCTCATCAAGGTAAGGTTCAAAATTTTACCCTTTTCTATGTGAACTGAGTGATAATTTCGCTAGAAAAGGCATCTGAACTAGGAGCAGGGATGAGAGAGGCCAGAGCATAGATTGTGATTTGACTCCCCATCTGTTAAGCGATATCTGTTTTTAACGAGCAACTACTATATCTCCTGCCACGATTAAATCATCTTCTCTAACAGTGTATTCTGAATGTCAATTTCGTGTTATCAGTTTCACTGAATGCCAAGTATAACTGTCGAAATATCGGTCCTCCTAAAATTAAAGTTGATAATTTTTAGCGGTTGCGATTACACTTGTATGTATATGGATGTTGGTGTTCCCTTTGGTGAAAGAATGACACAAAATACAGAAATTATTTTTATTTATATATTTATTGGACAATAAGATAAATCAATGTGTTAAACCAAAATGGACGGGAAAAGGGGAGAAATGTTGTGTTTCAACTAGAAGTAATCTTGAGAAGAGGGTGGATGCACTGTCCTCTTTTGGTCCTTTCCTCCATTATAACTTATCTAATTATACAGCAACCTTAAGGAATCCTCATAAGCTTATTATATAACAACTATGATGGAAATGACACTAGTAGAAAACTTTGTGATGAGTGACCAAAGAAGCATCGATGCACTGATTTTAGCTACTATGCATTGTACCAAAATGTCATACTCATTCGGGATTGATTTAGAAGGGGTGAGGAGGTATATGAGAAGACAAAAAAGGAGAAAAGATTGGGAGAATGCGTAAAGCTGAATGTCGTATGATGGAGTCTTTTTTAGGCATATTTTACAATGTGTATATTACATTTATCCAATGTGAGACACTAGTATGTGCACTGTTACTTCTGTACATATTTAACTCGGTCTAAGTCTAGCTATCTTCCCCCTCAAGGGGTGTGTGTGTATATGTCGTATATACCAAAGTTTGTTTCAACCTACATATATAGTTCATAGATTAGCAAGGAACTTAGTACGTACGCAAGTTAGTCCTCTGACTTTGCTGACTTGGTGATTGTGTCTCTATGATAAAACGACTGTCACTTCTATATGCTTGGTTCTCTTGAAAAATACTGGATTAGATGCAATACGAATTGCAGTTTGATTATTGTACATAGTTGTCTGATTAATCTGCACAAACTTCAATTCTCGGAATAGGTATTTCATCCATATGAGTTCATCAGGTTAATCGTACTGGCCCTATATTTGCTTTGACTTGCAACCACATATTGTATTATGCTCTTTCAGGATGGATGGGCTAGGGAGTAAATACACACAACTTGCAAAGCTAGTGTTTGATTAGCCTTCATCACCATCTTTAAGATCAATAGATTGAATCATTTAACAGGTTAGTAGATTGAAAATCCTATTTTACTCTGTAATGTATGAGATCGATTTACCACTGTCCAATCTCGTCCTTTGAGTTGTTGCATAGCTGGAGAAACTGATTCTATGGTGTCTGTCGCCTGCTTCTCACACTTATCATCTCTAAACCCATCAGTAACATCTAAGTATCAAGCTACTGTTATAGGAGTTTGTCCAGATTTGCCTGGAGTGTGAAGCACCTAAACAGATGTTTTATCCACATAAATCTGCGCTCGTTCAAAATTTGATAGCTGCACGGTTTCATTAAGTTTTTCCTTACCCCAGTTGCTTCATTATCTCAACAAACTTGAGTACATCCTCGATCTGAAACACGATCAACAATAGGGTCTTTTAGAAATCTGCTTTTCCCCCTCGCAAACCTGAGACACCCTATTCACAGTTGTAGCTTTAGAACATACTGGTTTTTCGAATAATTCAACAGGCACAACAGCTGGTTGATCATATACATGCACCAACTGTTGATATGGGCAACAGAGGGCCATCACCAATGGTTCCTTCACTAATTGTTGGGTTTCTTAGTCTGCTCATTTTATGTCCAACAATTTCTAGCATAGGTGGAGGTGCCACCATTGTTCTTCTAACCTTGTTATTTCCTATCTCCTTGACACTTGTTGTATACTTGCTATCAATATTTATTCCTATACAAAGTATATCATCTGCTACCTATTGGGAAGGCAGTATTGGTTCTGTTATATATGGTGGTGAAGGTTTGTTTGGGGCAGGGACCATGCTCCTAGTTATTCTCTTCTTCTTTTTGGACAATCTGATGGGATAAGTTCTCTTTTTGCTTTTAATTTTTTATAGGCCAAATACATAAGCAAGCCCTTAAACTTGGCTCTAATTTCCATTTAGACACTTTAACTAGGGTCTGTACCTATTTAGCACTCCAATCCTAACAAAATTGTGCCAATTAAATACAATAGGCTGACATGGCAAAAGGAGTGCATTTCACATCTCTTGCGCGCGTGAATTGATCCAAAAACATATCTTTATTTTCCTAAATATCACTTTTTAAAACCATATCACCATCACTAAGCCACCTCAACCATCACCGGAAAAAACACACATCACCTCATCTGCGCCATTGCAGACAACTACTGCCAGCTAGCAAAGTAACATTCAACTTGTTTGGTTTAGTTCTAACAACCTTTCCGCAAATTGAAGACCCCTCATTTCATCGTCAGCGATGAACCTTTATCCATTCACCACCATCTTTAACCAGCTTTTTCACCGGCAGACCACTCAACCCCAAAACGACAAATTCAACCAGCTTTTTACACCGGCGTCCAAGTCAACTCTGTCAAGTGGAACCACACCAGTTATTTCTCATCCTATGAAATATTTATTCTTTACATTAATTTCAAGTATTTACAGTAGTTTTAGAGGCCTTACAGTGAATTCGTAATTCCTCGTCGTGGTATTTACAGATATTATTTAGTATTACTATCATCATCTCACAACCAATAAAATTTCTTTTTTAAATACTGAAGATTAAAAAACACCATCCATCAACGGCGCCCACTTTATTCTCCATTCTTGGCTATCCAAACACTCCAGAATAGCGGCCCTTATACTCTCTATATTGTGACATCGGGATTATTGAATTAAATACAACAAGAATTTAACGATTCCATTACCGCACATGACCTTAATTTTGTACCAAATGGAGATCGAAGATAAGTACCAGGTGATGAATAGTGATTAGGTGAAGAAAAGGGTTCTGTGATGTGAAATAAATTTTAGAAGACAAAAAGAAAGTAGGTAAAGCTGTAGGTTTTGGACAGAGATTTAGAAGAAAACAGGGGAAAGATGAAATGAAGAAGAGGAGGCAAGAAGAAAAAGCAAATGCAGAAGAGTAAAAGGAAAGTAACGAAGAAGATAGATGAACGGCGGGGAAGGGTATCCAATGTGGAGAGAGCTTTGTTTTTAACTTCCACGTGGCTATCATTTATTTGTCTGATTTGCCACATCCGAAGCAATTGTTGTCACGCGCCTAGCTTATTTTATACATATTGTCTGAGGTGCTTAATAGGCACAATTTTGTTAGGGTTGGAGGGTTCAATAGGTACATGTCTTAGTTAGAGTGTCTAAATGGAAATTAGAGTCAAGTTTAAGGCCCTGCATAAGTATTTGGCCTTTTTATAATTAGTAAGATGATAAAATTATCACTTTTGTTAGAGATGGAATAAACAGAGCGTATAGCAGATTCTTTAGACAAACAGAGAAAAATGTACACTCGTGACACTTCCTTAATGTTTTGGAATCTCAGTAAGAAATTCCAAAACCTTTGTACCATCTGTTGCCTTAGGATCCTTCAAAGCAGTAATAGTTTCAGGAGATGATTGAGCTCGATTCCCATTAGGAGTTGGAGCATCAAGTACCTGCCCGACTCTTTTCTCCTTCCGATCTGTTGAGAGTTGCATCTTAGATTGTTCAAGTTCCTTAGTGATCAATTGTCCAGCTGCATTAGCGTATTGCTCAGTATCTATAATTATAGCAGTCCTTTCGATCAACCACATGTGCTTTTGCATTCTTCAAAACCTGAGAACCCCTTAGAGCTGGGGCAAGGACTTCACCTGCTAAATATTTGGGGGCTAGGGCAAGGACTTCAGCTGCTAAACCTTAGAGCCGCCCTAGCAATGGATTTGAAGATTGCCTCATCAGCGAAGAAAGAGGTGAATCTCAGAGCCGCGTAAAGTTGCAATTTTGTTGATTATACAGTTTACAAAATTAACTTGTTTAATACTTGCCCTCGTTTAAATTAGTTTTTATGTACCCACTTTTGTAGGAGTTAAGTACAATTAGCTGGTTAAACGATTTATAAATATGTTCATATTTCTGAGCTAGTTTTACATTTTTTTTTTTAGAGCTAGACAGTAATTTGGCTTTCCAATAGTGCAAATTCAAAATTTATGTACAATAGATAATTTCTAACAATTATCTTCCGGAGGAACGATGATATGTAATTTCTCATGTTTAATTGTTATAAAAGGTTCTAGTCGAAATTGTCAAGTTAGCTCAAAAGCGACAGATGAAAGGAAGTAGCGGAGGGTGGAAAGATTTTTTGAGATCATATGACTAGAAGTTAGGGGTTAGCTTGAGTGACCCGTCCAAGAGATCCGTTGATGATCTGCTTGCGTTTTTGAAGACGTTTAGTCAAGAGTATGACATAAAGGTGGTTAATATCGATTACCTCTTGGTTTCATTCAGTTAATTAGCGTAAAATAATGCTGCTACAACTAATGCCATAATGTCCCTTTTGTGCAGCTTTTTAAAAAGGTGTTTCAATGTTATTCCAATCGAGATGCTGTAGAGAAGCTTCAGAAAAAGTCCCCGGATAGTGAATCCGCGAAACATGTGAAGAGTATATTTTGGCTTTCTGGTATTATTACGAATCATAAATGCGACATTAGTGTGGTTTTGTTGTAAGATAGTTGGGAAAAATCTACTTAAGTGGGTTGAGAGTAGCTAATTCATCTCCAGTCGCTGCTAATAGGTCTTATAACTTGTTCTGTTAGAATTTAACTGCGGCTATAACTTGTTCTGTTAGAATTTTACTGCGGCTATAACTTGTTAATATATAGTTGATATTTGAGAGTGACAACCTGGTGATCCGTGGTTTGAATACCAGCTACAACACATGCTATGATGAGTGATTTTCTCTAACCTTGGTGGGCGGAGTTACCATTGCCAACATATGCTTGTGGGCAAGACATGCTGCTCGGTGGATTATAGTCAAGTTGCTCGCAAGCTAGCAGGGCATGGTGATAGAAAAAATGAAAAATAAAAATAAAAATTGGAATTAGTATTCAGAATTATTGATAGCAAAATAGTTGCATGCTCTCCAATTTTGATAACCCCANGCAGGGACTGATTCATTTAACTTTTGAGCACCCTCAATATCCGATAGATTACTCATTCCATCACACGAGGAGGTTAGACTCAATGAATTTGTGAATCCAAACAAACCAATTGCAGATTACAGAACTGAGATTACTGGAATAACCACTGGAGATTTAGATGGAGTTTCTTGTTCATTGGCCGATGTACAAATGTCCATGAAGAAGCTATTATCACATGGAACCATATTGATTGGCCACAGTTTACACAATGACCTTCGAGGTAAGCTACATATTGCATCATAAGTGATGGTCTTTAATTAACATTCAAATCTTTGGTGCACATCTACTGGTAAATGGAAATGACACGGCTTCTATGATCACGTGTCTCTTTTTAATATCTCTAGGCTTTAATGTTATTTTTACTCCCTTTTCTCTTTTCTTTCCCTGTCCTTAGAGTATTATGCCGTGCTTTTCCTCAGTTATGCCCTTCGTTTTTTTTTTTTGATAAAGCTCTGTTATGTTGTTCTTAATAGCTTTGAAGATAGATCATGCAAGAGTGATTGACACTTCTTATGTCTTCAAATATCGAGATCAGCCTTCTAATAGAAGACCTTCTTTATGTAATTTGTGTAAGGTAACCTGTGCTTTTTTAATCTTAGTATTTCTTTCCCATGCTACGATATATCCACGCTGTTGAATTGTTGGCCATATCAACCCTTACTTTGGATTTCTATTTTATTTGGGAATTTTTAAGTGCAGGCATTTTTTCAAATGCTTTTATCTGAACACTCCAAATAACTCTATTCGTTTTGTGTTTAGTAAAATAGTTGTGCTGCTTTTTTTTAGCAGTCTTTATGGTTTGTCTCCCTATTCTTCTTTTTCCAACTGTGGTTCCTTTTATAAACTGAAGATTAACAATTATTTAACTATTTATCACAAGCTCTGCTTGGTGAATGCTATTGCTTACTTACAATAGTTTCCAAATAGTCTGTGTTAGGTTTTGAACTTCGAAAGAAGGACTCTCTACATAATTGTCTGGATGATGCATGTACTGCGATGAAACTTGTTCTTGCCAAGATTGAATGTGGAGTTGATAGTATCATACCGTTAGTTCGTGAGGAGGTAATATCATAAAGCCTTTTATTTTAAATTTCATTTTCTTTCTTGTGTCCTGATTATAAGATGGTCATCTACTCCTTTGAATTTAGGTGCAAGAGCCCAAGGTGGCAAAGCTGCTTGTCCACAGAATACCAGTGGTTGTTCATAGCGAAGAGTTACACAAAGTTATTCCTGGAGACATTACCATAGAAGTTAAGGTTAGGAGAATCTCATGCTTTTTTCTCTCTCATGTCATATAAATAATAAATGACATCTTTATGCAGTTTGCACTACTTTATGCTGATTAGTTTATAAAAGCACATGTCGACGTTCAGTCGTTGAAGAATCACATTGTTGTTTGTTTGCGTTTTTTTAATGGTCTATGCTATAGTCATTCCTCATATTACATGGATCCTTCAATTGCCTTAATGTACTCGTGTCAAACTGGTGTGACATTGGGCATAGGTGCTTTGCTAATTCTTCAAAAAAAACACTAATATTTGCCAGAAGCTACACGTGCCATGCCAATCGAGGGTCTATCGGAAACAGCTAGTACACACTACCCTCCCCAGACCCCACTTGTGGGATTATACTGGATCATCGTTGTTGTAAAACTTGAGAACCCCTAACTACAGTAGCGTCAACAGGACCTATAGCAACACTGGAACCAGCTGTTATAGGTAGTAGCTTACAAACATCAGATCCTTTAGCTACAACATTTGATTCTTGCCCCTCATTAGCCACAATAGAAGCTTTAAAACCTGTTGCATCCCTGCGACTGCCACCTCCCCATTACCATCCAACTTATGATTAGTTTGTAACGCTGAGTTCACAGCCTTGTAAAGCCTCACCAAGGCTATAGTAGCACGAACATCACTTGTAGGTTTAGATTGACCATTCACCACCTTTGAAACATCACCTACAGGATTAATTGGACCACTATTAGCTAGTTCTTTTCCAGTTTTTGTGACCTGCTGCTGCCCAGATGCATTCTTAGCAACAACTGCTGTATTTTGCATCTTATTAACATTAAATCCTTGATGAACTACAATGGACTTGTTCCCATTATTATTAGCATCATACAAACATGTTCCCTCAACCACCTGCTACCGTTATTTATCATCCAACAATTGCCTCAGATCACCTTGAAACTTCTCCACCAAAATTTGATCTTCACAATTCTCGTCTGCCCTATACCTTACACTGTCTCAAGTCCTTGACAAAATCAAATGACATGTATTGTAACCATGCCCTTGACACCTACAACAAGTACAATATAACGGCAATTGTCATCACAAGGACATTGGATCACATTTAGTGATATTTTTGCCAAAAAAAAGTATTTATCCTTAATATAAATACTTAAGGAGACTCCTTACCAAAAAAGAATTATTTTTGCAGACTAAGGATCGTTGGATCACATTCAGTACATTCAGTGATATTCCTATGTTGATGTCATATCCTTGATATAATGTAAGGCCTTTAATTGTTTTGTTTTATCCAATTTAAACTCTAATCCCATTGAATTGAATTCTTGACATAAATATAGCATTACGTAGTACTAGTATTTGTTTGTGAGTGAGGTTTTAAATTTTGATTCCAACAAGGAAATGGGATTGATGTCTAAGAGTCGTTATTTCTTTAAACCCCCACTTGTTATCTCGATCATCGAATTGAAGTCTTGCATTGTGAGTCATCCTTTCCCTTTCTTCTTTTTTTGAAAATTTTCAGCTTTAGAGTAATTTTCAGAAGTTAAACAATATGCCTATAGGACCAACATAGAAAAAGATTTTGTAGTCATTCGAATAGGCTTGTTCATCAATTTCAACATGTACTTTTTCACTTCAAAATTTTCATCTTTATATTGTACTTTAGTATGATCTTCTTTGGTTGTTTATTCTTTATTACTAAAGTAACATAAATTTATTATTTTAACAGATTAAAAATTTGAAGTCCAAAGAACTTATCCTTGAAGAAAGTGTAGAGCAAGTTGAAGTATAAGAGGTTTTTGGTTTGTGAGGGATGATTAAAGACATTGTCTTATGTACATATATATGCTGCAATTTTACTTTCTCTTTTTAGGAATTGTTAAAAATGATGTCTTACAATTTGGATTGGTTTCTGGTAAATATGATACTTTACTTCATTATACTAACAAGATATCAAGTATTTGGTTTATTTTCTAATGTTGTTGAGCGTGTATGAAAGCATATAAAGAATTATTACTATTCATGTAATTCAAATTTTAGTAATTATATTTATTACATTTTTATATTAGCGAAGAAAAATGTGATCAATAAAACTCTTTAACGACATGTTTCTCAAACAGATAAATGACCATTAACGAAGGGAATTTCGGCTGTTAAAAGCAATTATACAATCAACGAAGGGAATATTGGTCGCTAAAATCACTTGAATTAACTTAATTAGTTGTTGTGATTAGAGTTTTTTAACGACCGAATAACTTTTTAACGAGGGAAAAATTCTGTCGCTAAAAGCATGTATAACGACCGAAAATTATGTTGTCGCTAAAGAACCTTTAACGATCGGATTGTAAAACCGGTCGTTAACTTTTAACGGTCGGTGTCGACCGAAATTTTTTCGGTCGTTATCAACTTATAACGACCGAAATTGGACTTTTAACGACCAAATTTCCCCTCGCTAAAGGCCTATTTTCTTGTAGTGGCGCCTGTGCAATTTTCTCAGAATATTTGTCCTGTTTCGACTTGGAAAAGGTAATTTTACCTGGGCCCACTCCTACCGGGTATAAATACACCAAAAAACATTTTTGAATGGACTTTTGATCTTTGAAGATTTGGGAGAGCATTAGAGGCTACAAGACACATGATTCCATCATCTTTCCATCAATTCAATAGGAGAGTTTGGATTGTAACGTTAGATTGATGCTTTCTTATTCTTCAATTATAACTATGATGACTTCCTCCATGATTATGGAGTAATTTTCCTTAGGGTTTGAGGAATATGGTATTTTGATAAATATTTGTAAATTTTAACTTTAGTTCATGCTTAAATTTGTTTATGGAGTTTTGAATTATTGCAACTTTATTCATCGGTTTATTTAATCAAAAGAGGAATATCTTGATGATTATCTTTGCATTATTTTGTTTGATTTAATTCATTTATTCTCTTAAGTAATCGGAAGAGATTTTTTAATTGTTGATTAAATCAATATAAAGAGAATATTCGAGAGACGTTTTCCTAAGGACCAATCCATTAACGCATGCTTGCATACTTCACAATGCTTATATTAGTTCATCTCATAAATTTAAGATTTAATCGAGAAAGGAGTCTTAACTACACGTTTGTACTAATCATCGAGTGAATTCATGAGAATCATTAGAATATTAGAGTGAATTAAACTAGAATTAAGTCCCAAATAGCTATCTTGCACCAATCCCTGTGGAGACGATATTATGCTATACTATCATTGATTATCGAGCATCAATTCCGAAATATCAATAATATCTCTCTCCTCTCTCAATCTCATATCAAACCCTAGAATAAATCTGTACAAAAATACTTCGATTTCCGCAATTAACATTATTTCATATAGTTGAATGTTGCCACGCAGTTTTGTACTGAATTCTTATTTTCCTGAGGCATTAAATAATAACAACTCTAATACCACAAGGCACACGAATGATGCTCATCCAAAACCACTAGAAGTTGCCAGTACAAAATGGGCAAACATGTGAAAAACTAGGTACTAAAACTACATTTGATAAAGTGAGAGGAGATCGCGGAGTTAAAGAAAAAGTAGAGCTGGAAATGTCACTTGTCTTGTTTGCTAAAGAACAGAATAAGTAAAAGCTGGTGGAAACAAAAGAAGTGAAAGTGTGGAGATGCTGGTTTCTTTCCCCGTGGTAGCTTTCTAGATGGACCTTTTACTATCACCGTTCAAATTTTCATCCCATTTAAAAAAGGACTTGGGAAAATAACCTTCTGTCTGAATTTTGAAGCATGCCATTTAGAATTAATTTTGGGAAGCAGTCTTGACAGTGGCCAATATTTTAAAGTTCTTTTTACCATTTTAAGTATAGAGTTACAAAATAATCATTTAATTATTTTTTTAATATTTAAAACTTCTACGTTAAACTAAATTATATATATTCATAAATCTTTTCTTTTTTGAAAGTGTAACATAAAAGACGAAAAAACTAAAGTAGGAAACTATTGTGAGCCTAAAGTACGTTTTAGGATTAGGAGATACTAAAATCTAAAAAAAGGAAAATCAATATAGAACTTTCGTGCACCTAGAATTCCATTAGGTTTAGGAATCTCCATTCTCTATTTTGTATACTTTAATTAGTATTTTTGTAAAAAAATAATTCAAAGAAAATAGGTTGAAAACCAGAAATCTTTTTGAATCATATAGACAAACATTTTTTATAAAAGAAGTTAATTTTCCATAATATCATTATCAAATTCTATGAAAATCACGTCCTATTCACCCTCAAAGTAATGCTAAAGCTAAACTTTATTGGTAATTTCATGCGTCTGACAATTTTAAAAAGTTTGAGTTGGATATTTCAAATTATTTAAAATTTAAAAGAACTACATATATTTAAAAAATTAAAGACTTTGAATTTAACTACAAAATTATGTCTTTTATTGTTATGGAAAAATTATTTCTTTATGTAGCGACGCTATTTTTTCATGTACTCCAGTCAAAAATATAAATAAACTCATCGTAATAACAAGTAGTGTAGTACTGAATTTGCATTGAAATAGGGTGTTTACCCTTAAAATTGGATAAAAATAGAATTTGTACGCGATTTTAAGGATACGTAATATAACTTGATACTAAGTGAGAAGACAGAATAATATTGAAGTTAACAATAAGAAAATAAATGCAAACCACACAAATTGAACAGCCTTAGCCTCTAAGTGATAACCCTCGAGCCAAGAAATGTCTCAATTAATGTAAGAACAGAATAACAAGATGATAAGAACTAGAATCAGTATATTGCTTTCTTTGTGCGTGTTATAGTGTCCCTCACAAATGATCAGAAACCCCTTATATAGTAGGGGAATTCTACTCTTGATACAATTCTATATAAGGTAAAAAAAATCTCATGATTTGCTAATTAATCGACCTCTTCTTGATACGTGCCGAGATTTATGCCGTGATCTTCGACCGATTGCGGATATTTCGGCCTTCCGTTATTTGGCTCGGCAAGTTTCCCTCGATCTTGTTCGGTCTCTAAGTCATGAGCTTGACGATCTAATTTTGCGCCTTGATTTGATATAACCCGACCTCAAGCTTTGACCTGCCATGTTTCAACCTCGATTGGTCACTCAATAGGCGTACCTGGTTTCGACCGTATACAGATAGTCCCCTCGTTTTTCGGAGCGTAGATGATGAGAAATGATATGAGCCTCGCTTCGACAAATCATGACGTAAGCAACAAAAGGTAACTGAAATGTCCCATCGGTCTAGTCTTGAAGGCATTAAATGTATGTCAATCGTCGGTCGGCCACTACTGGTTTTAACCGTCATTAGCGAACTATAAATACCCCAACTTCCATTCATTCGAACTTTGTGTTCAAATCTTCTTCTACTCTTGTTCTTTAAGAATCTCTCCACTCTCCAACTTTTGTACCCAAATGTCTTGAACCTTTTGCAACTACTAAGTGCACTTTCTTAATTTCCTTTTCTCCATTTCTGCTTTAAAATAGCAAAAATTTCTAAGAATGTTCCACAGAAAGAGGCGGCATCTTCATCAGGGCTCGCCGGCGACGGGACTGCGGCGAGACCACACTTTGAAGAGTTCCCTCCAGGAGGATGCCCGGTCGGTGCTAATTTTCCTCGGTACCGGGTCAATGCGAGCAAGTCTCGAGATATATATGTTCGATCACCAATGATTTCCTCTCCAAGGTCAAAGAGGATTGTAACAGGGCCGATAAACATGTGGCGGTGCCCTCGCCTGAGGAAGCAATTACTACCCACGTGGTTTTTTTTAAGTGTTTATACTTACCCCTTCACGTTGGGTCCCTTAGACCCCATCATTATTGCCTTCTACAGGAGGTACTAAGTGACCCTCGACCAAATTCACCCCTCAATCTAGAGGATAGTGATCCTTCTCCGTTTTTTATAAGAAAAATCAAGGGGTGTACCTTCACCCTCGATCATCTCATGCGTCTGTACATTCCCCGACTCTATTGAGGGGGGTTAATAAAACTTACTCGCTGGGCCAATAGGGCCCCGTTCTCGAGTATAGATAAGGATCAGGACCGAGGCTGGATGGCCTAATTCATTCGAGTGAAGACCTCAGACTTGATCCCTGCCGAGGACATGCCATTTCCCGAGAAATGGAACATAAAGCGTAAGTATAACTTCGCCTTAAAGATTTTATTTATTATTCTCCCCTTCCTCCCTTCTTATCAATATTTTTGTGGTGCAGTTGTGGCTTTGATGCTGGATGCAGTTCCTCGACTCAATGTCATATAGACCATATTCTGAGCGCGCATGGCGCGAGCTATTGAAGGGTCGCTGAGAGGCCCGTAATCATGGTAAGTTTTCTTTTCCGATTAGATAATGTTTGATTTTCTCCTTGCGCTGTCGAATTCTTATTGGTTCCATTTTCTTTTGGAGGTCTCCCAAAAGATGTTTCTATGAGGCCTCCATCCGGTGATGAATATGTGCCTCTCGAGTTCCCCACTCCGAGGCAGAGTGACGAGAAGAAAAGGAAAAGGGCCCCGAGTTCTCCGAACTCAGTAAAGAAAAAATCAAAGTGGAGGCTGGTGCGTAAACCCAAGGGAAGCACCGACGTTCTATCCTCGGACTCAATCCACCGGCTAAGGATGAGTTAGAAGAAGAAGATAAATCCAAACTGGTGGCCTGCGTGCGGGTAGGTGTCTTGATACGAGAGGCCTTCAAACCATCTCGACTTAAGGAGGTCGATGGGAGAACCTTAGCTAAATCTCCCGAACCAGAGGGGGGTGAGGCCACTCCACCTCGAGCTAGAGAGATCGAAAACAAAATGGGACTGATGTTTCTCGAGTAGGGAAAGTGCCCCGAAAGATGTAATTGGGGCGATTGACTTCACCGGGTCTCCTCTGTTTTCTAATTCCATGATCAACGAGGCTGGTATGCTAAATGAGCGCCCACACAAAGTGCCTCATGAGGCAGTAGATATCAATCATTTCTTCGAAGG